AGCTTTAATGCAAGAGGAGTTTCCCGCTCGGCGCCCGGGGAGCTCCTGCAAACCGCTCGCCTGTTCGTGTCCTGGAGCGCGGGTGCTGTCAAGTGTCTCATCTGCCCCCTATCCAAAGCAGCTCAGTGGTGCGGAGTGTGAAGTGAACGCTTAGAGAGATGTTTGGCCATTGAATATGCCTTATTATTGCAAAAATGCTGTCATGTTTACTTTTAAAAAAAAAAAAGTACTTCTGGGGAAATTTTTACATGGCAGACAGCGTACAGAAATGTTTGACTTCTAACAGCATGCAGCAGTAATTTCATGATGGGGAGAGAGATGGTTTGATGCAGAAAGAAAAATACTGCTTTTTTGTTTTGTTTCCTTTTTTCCTTGAAGAACCAAAAAAAAAAAGGAAAGCTTATTAAAACAAAACACATTTTTCCTTTAGTTTCAAAGTTACTGAAAGTAGGTTTTGAATTTCATTCAGCAATTTGGAAAATCAGCTTGTTCCATAGCAGTCACTAGTACCTTGATTCATGACACATGCATGTTTTGAGAAGGAAAGAATAAAAGTGGAGCCTGCAGACAGATGTCAGCTTCTTGTTGTATCCCAGGATGGTGGTTTTAACAAATATTATCTTTATATGGAAGAGTAAAAGAACTGAAATCCTATCTGATCCTCGGATTGATTATACAGCCCCACAAATCACTCCAGCTTGCTTCTTCCCGTACTGTGGTAGCACAGGTTAGCTTGCTCTGCATAAGGATTTCAAATAGAGTGTAATCCCCTATTTTTACAAGAGTTTACATCTCATCAGTGAAAGTTCACTCTAGGTTGAAATTTAACATAAGACTCTGGCTAGAGAGAAACATGATGGAAAATATGACTTTGGGGTGATTTATTTTTTATTTTTTAGTTATACAAGCAGCTTTCTAAAAACCTCATATAAGTTTTAAAGTTTTAGACTCCCTTTTGCAGTTCTCTAACTAAAACCAGCTTTGGTGTAAAAAGTTGAAACCTTAAACCCTGCTAATCCAGAGCAGGGACCGGTGCCTGTGCATATTAATAAAAAGTAGAAAAGGGCAAAGGGTTTAAACTCTGCGGTGGTGTTGTCCATTTCCATTAACTCTTTCTCCTCAGACCCAATCCTTGAAATGCTCTGTATGGAGAATTACTGCTGGCTGTAAAAATAATTCAGTCCCTGGAAGATGCTGATAAGTCAGCAGACCCCAGTTGCTGTAATACTTGGAGATAGAAAAATAATTAAGCTCTCAGTAGGCTACGCTGCTGGGTTTTCTTGTTGTGGCTACTTGGGAGGAGAGGGGGCAGGGAGAAGCCTAGAGAGCACCACGTTCAAAGCAATGGTGTAGCTAGCTTATGCATGTATTGGCTAAAATTCAGGTCCAGGTATCTATACGTATGGAGCCTGTTTCTAATCTAATTCATGTGAAGGTGAATAGGTTGAGTTATGCTGGTGTCAGGCTTGGTGAAAGTAGTCTCCTGGTGAATTGCTCACTGGTGCTTTCCCTGTGTGAACGAGTACACCAGGGCAAGGTCCAAGTAACAGTTTAGCCCTGACCTCAAATCTCCGGCAACTGAGGTGCAATCTTGGCACTGTTGTCAATGATCCTTCCTTGCACATGGGTTGTAGAGTAAGTGTGCCTTAGTTTCATTTCCTAGAGGTGTTTTAATTTCGTTTCTAGTTACCTTTTTTTGTGCCCGGTGTCTAATAATATGAGGTTCCTCATGCACTTACAGAACCGCTGAGCAACTTTTGAAGCTAAGCATGTTTATCAGTACTTCTTCAAGACGTATTGGTGTATGCCTGTACATGCAGGGTGGTTGATTGAACAAGGCTGTACCTGGAGTGTGGGTATGGGCCAGGATTACAGCCAGCAATTGCGCTTGTTTAGAGAAAAGTCTGTATTTTAAAGCGAATAACGCAACTTTAGGAGAGCATTTACTTGTGTAGCTAACAAAACCCGTCTGCCACATGGCACGTGTGAAACGTACCCGGGAACGTGCATCTGGCTTTTGAAGAACAGAGCTGCTTAGTTTTCGAAGGGTGCACGTGGTCCGTGGGTCCTCGTGGGAGTAGAGGGTTGGTTCAACACCCGGTCCTGGGGCTGCCTGCAAGGGAGGCTGGTGGAGCCATCGTCAGGAGGCCCTTTTCCCCTCACAAGTGGTACCACAGGCCTAGAGGTTTACTCCAGACTAGGGCTTGGCTTTGATCCTCCTAATTTCCCTCCCCTCCCCCCCCAGTCATTAAAGAGTTTGTGGGGTTGTATGTGTGGATATGGGGAAAAAGGAGGGGGGAGGCACGCTCCGCCACCCTCCACATGCGTCCTTGTGGTGACACTGGTAGAGCGGGTGGCCTCACTCGTGCCTGCCTGATGCTGCTGGTGCTGTATCTTGAGCAATTTTACCCATTTTGTTGTCGCCCACCTTACTTCTGGTTGCTAATGACCTTCCTGCAAGGCTCCAGCCTCTCACAAGCAAACCTCCAGGGACGGGAGCCGGGCTGCGGAGCAGCAGTGGGTGGCTAGGTTTGATTTAGGCCCAGCCAGCGGGGTTCATCTTCTCCTCTTTGTGACAAATTGTTTTTTGCCTCCCTGTCAGGCAGCCCGAACTCCCAGTCTCCTTGTCCCAGAGGCAAGAAAACAGCAAGCCTGTGTCTATTCTCACACGATTGATAGCCCCGCCGGTAGGAGCATCGGCGCATGGGTGACGATGATCTACCGCTCAGCAGCTGCCCGCGCTGAACGGGCGGGCTTCCCCCGACCATCTCTCATAGCCACACATGCACCTGCTGTCACAAACTTACACCGTGAGGAGGGGGCAGTGAGGAGGAGGAGGGCGGGGGAGAGAACTTTTCTTTATGGTATTTGCTATAAATGGGCTAAAAGTGTGTCTCTCTCTTTCTCCTTCCCTTCTCTCTTTCTTCTCCCCCGTTTTTTGCAGAGGATGAAAGTCCTGGGCAGACCTATCACAGAGAGAGAAGGAACGCGATCACAATGCAGCCGCAGGGTGGGCAAGGCCTCGGCAAGATCAGTGAAGAGCCTTCCACGTCGAGCGAGGAAAGGGCCTCATTAATCAAGAAGGAGATCCATGGATCTATATCGCACCTTCCCGAACCTTCTGTACCTTACCGTGGGACGCTCTTTACCATGGACCCCCGAAACGGTTACATGGACCCTCATTACCGTGAGTATCGATTGCTGGTTCGTTTGGGGATGCAAAGTTGGAAGGCTGTCAAGGCTGTCAAATTTAATGCAGTTTTATTTGTCGCCTTGCATCATCCCCAGGGAGAACTGCTTTGTCTCTGGGCGGGGGAGGGAGGGGGGCGGGGAGCGTTGAGGTAATACAATCTTTTTTCTGAAGTTAAAAACCAGGAGGCAGTTGCATTGCAGCTCAAAATTATCACAGGCCTCTGCAAAGCAACTTCCACAGGACATCTCATCTGTTGCTAATCCTCCTCAGCCATCTAGAGTTGCATTTGCTCCACCTCCTTAATACATGAAGAAAAAAAGCCTCATTAAAGAAAGCACAGAAGGAAAATGAAACAGGCCTTAAAATCCCTCTTTTAAAACAATGTTAAAGTACGGTATTAAGAGGAGGAAGGACCGTGTCTTGTACAATAAGAATGTGGAGGGGGGGTGTGATTGAAAGGTTTGTTGCTGTGTTTTTGGGGTTTTTGTTTTGTTTTGGAGTTTTTTTAGGGATTCACGTGTGTGTTTGAGTATGTGGGCTGATGGAGTGGTTTAGCAATTTTCTTCCCTAGCTACAGTTCCCTGAAGGTGGGGGGGGCAGCGGAAGGCAAATGGTTTCAACTTCTGAATTCCTGCTCAGGCATTAATAAAAAAGTAAGAAATTAACTGACACTTGAACACAGATGTGGAATGGATTTCTCCACAGGCAAAATATGAGGGAGTTAAGTAATTTTTTTCATCTGCTTCTAGTTTACAAAAAAAGAAAGAGAAAAAAAAATCATTTAGTTGTGTAGTAATGAAGTACATCTTGAGGTGTCAAGGCTTGTGCCTTTTGATTATAGATTTATCACCCAGTCAGCATACAGATTTGCCATTTAACCTTCCAGTCTCCAGTTCCAGATGATAGGCTTAAGACCTACAAAGAGGGGCCAGTCTGCGTTGGGTTTTTTTTTTTGACATCATTCAGAAATTTTAGTGTTTTAAGGCAAAAGGTCATTAGCCAGACGACTGATTAGTGAGGACAGCTGATTAGCGCATATTTTTTTGCTAAAGAAAGTGCCAGGGATAAAAGCTAATTTTATCCCTTCATTAGTTGGGCTAGCAGCAAAGGGGAATGTTCACTCATCAGGGTGCAGATCAAAGTATGCCTCACACAACCTTAAGTCTCACCAACCTCCTTTTAAAAAAAAAAAAAAAAAAAAAAAGACCCTGATTGTTAATAAGGATGGAGGTATTATCAGAGAATGAACACTTGTTGTCTTTGTAGTTTAGATCAGTATTTAGGGGAAAAGTTTGCAGTTAAGCTTTTGAGCTTTCTTCCAGTGTAGGCAGTCAGTTTCTGTACACCCTCCTCCTCCTCTCTTGCACAGTCCTGCTCAAACCCTCTGGGGGAGTTACTCATCTTTCTTCTGAGGAGGATGTGCCGCAGCACACCCGCAGCAGACTTGTCTGCCAGAGAGGCATGAATGTGCAGAGCAAACGACTGCTTATGAGCAGCAGCGCGTAGAAATACTAGCTTGCGGGTTGGAGACACCATTCGTAGCTTACGGTTTGTTAATGCAACCCTTGAATCTCACTTAAAAAAAAAAAAAATCGTATCGGGGAAGCAAAATAGCTTGTCTGTTTGTACACAGTACAGCTGGGAAGAGATTAAATATATGACAAAAACAACCCCCTAAACAAACAACAAACCTTATGCTGAATTTAGTGGTGATGATTGCCATTTTGACCATCTGACCAGCTGCCGGCTCATCCCTTAAGTCTAGTTCAGAGTTGATGCTAGTTACTGATACTAGTGAAGATTCAGACTGAAGAAAAAGGGCTGGTCGGTCAGAATGAGTCTGAGTACTTTGCATTTAGTTTATTTAGTTTTGTTTTATTGAATTTGCCTTTTGGTGAGAGTTCTCAAGAATCAGTGAAGTTACTATGTCTGTATTGTGACCAATAATGCTAGCTAGTTAGGATGTGTGGGCTACTAGAAAAACATTGATGTCGGAAGTTGAGAGAACAGAAGTTATCCAGCATGTAACAGTAGAGAAACAGGAGATGAGTTAATTTTACATGAGCAACATGATCTCTAAGCAGAAGTCTAAGTCGGAAAACATCAGATGGGCGGACCTGCTTCACCACTGCTGTAGTGAGTTGTACATTTGTACTCACTGATTTATAAAATCCCTCAAGCTATTAATGTCATATAAAGAGTCATCATGCTTTTATTTACCTTTAATAGATGTGATATAGAAGGACAACTAAAGAGACAAATGTCTAGTTAGATTTATAGGAAAGCAGACAGGCTTACTGCAATTTTCATAGTAGTTGTATCATTTATATATGTAAGATGCTTTCATCAAAGTGGTGACTGTATTCAGGCTGACACTTATAGTGGTCCATATGAAGAAGGCTGAATAATGTAAACATACCCCAGTCCCACTGTAGCAACAGGTGAAGAACCAACAAAGCTATTGTTCCTTTCCTTAGTTTCTTGCCGGTTTTGCTGGGCATATGGATAGAAAATACTGTTTTAATTCAACATAGTTGGGTATGTAAACACTCACAGTAATTCCTTAGTTTCTGTGTGGTTAGAAAATATAGACTTTTCAAGACGCCTAATTTGTGCTTCTATTTATACCCACTTTGTATTTAAAAGTGTGGGCAGGCTTCCTGTAACACAGGAAAAGGGAAAATAATTTTTTTGAAGAAGGACATCTGTATATTTTTATGGCAAGAAAAGAAAAAGAGCATTTAAGTCAATTGTGTGTGGAACGCATGTCCCCTCCAGGAGCTGCAGTTATTAGAAACAACTTGAATGCTTTGCATTTCTACATGTAAATATGCGTGTCTCTGTGTATGTGCGTTGCAGGATTTTTTGTTGTTATAATTTTTTTCCTAATTAAAATGACTGATGTTGTAAATGTTGGAAATAATAGTTGCCATATACGTGGAATAAATACCTCACTGAGGGGGAGTTTGCTCTCCTGCAGAGTGTGGGTGTGGGTAATGGTTGTGTTTCAAGTGGACCAGCTTTTCAAACAGCTGGGATGAAACATGCTGTGGAGCTGGCGACCCTTCTGCACTGCCAGAGAACCCCTCAACCATTTAGCAACTGCGAATGAGAGCGGCCTCGTGTGCAGCCCACAGCCCTCTGTCCTCCAAAGAGATAAAAGGGAAAACATACAGGCCTAAACCAGAATTTTTTGTTTTCTATCTTTTTTTGTTATGGATTTCTTAAGCACTGTTTAAACACCGCTCACAAAGTACGGGGGTTTTGTTTTTGTTTTTTTTAACTTTTAAAAACTTTTTTTCTTTTTAAAAGCTTTAGGGCAGATGACAAAAATGCTGGAGTTTCTTTTCATGTGTTGCACCTTTTCTTTATTAAGGGGGGCAGGGTTACTGAGCTTAATCAGTGTTTCTTAAATGGATTTAAAACCCTGTGTTTCTCAAACACTGTTTGCAGTGGTAGTTGGAGCCCCTTGTTAATGTAAATTCTGTCTCTAGAGGTGGGGCTGAGGCAGGGGAGGTGGGGATAGCAACTTCCCTTTGTTATTCTCTTCCCCAATTTTAATTCCCACGCAGATTTATGGCAGTGCGAAGACTGCCTGTCTCACAAGTCATTCCTCATGGAAAAAATGAATCATTTCTGATGTAAACACTTTGATTTAAAACATACTGCTGGTATTCTTCCCTGGGTTTCACAGCTCATCTGAAAGAATCGTTAGTTCCTAATTAGTAAAGCCTGAAGAATTATCTTAAGTAAAAAGCAGTGACAGTTCAGTTGGCTCTGATCTAAAAATTTGTATATACAGGAATGGCCCTGGCACGATTCTCTTTCTAGTATATCCCTTCATCTCAAAGAGGCTGCACTGAATATAGCAGGAACTCCCTCTTTCTTTTTTTAAATTTATTTTTTCTTTTTTTTTTTTTCCCCCCCTTGCTGGGGATTATTCTGCTGGTTTTGAAGCTTCTGTATCTATCTGGGGAAGTGGGAACTGCTTATTGCACACTCCATAGGATTAACCCTCCAAAGGTATCGACTGCCCTCAGTTCCCACCGACTGTGCCTGGACTTGTGCTTTGTAAGGATCAGGCCCCACATAGCTGCCCAGGTTAGATATTACCCAGTGTTAGTGTCATATCAAAATCAATTTGCAATGCGAACAAAAAACCACAGCAAGGAAAATACAGTGCTGGTTCACTAGGTGCACTTGTTCATTTACCGTGTTTTAATTTCTATTGACAAGAATTCCCCTTCCTTCATCTCCCCATAGAAAAGGAGGGGAAAAAAAGAAAGGAAATTAGATTCTGTTTCTGTAAATGCAAACTGTTAACTGGAAACACTGCCTTAAAATGCAGTAACTAGAAAGCAATGGTTTTTCATGGCAACATGGCTTGAACCACGATGACCAGCTATGTGTGGCGCACTGGATGGTGAGAGCACTCCAGGTCGCCACCAGCGGATGAGCTCATGGGAAAAAATCTGGGTCCTACTTCTTCAGCTCTTTCTGCAGCATTTTGCAGGGGAGGGGCTTAGGCTCTCTAGTAACAAAACTCTCCACTGACAGTGATTTATGGGGTGGTTTCCAAATGTTGTCAAGGAGGGGTAGTTGAAAAAAGTAAAATCTAAAGCTTTTAATAAAACTCACAGGAAAAGAAGCCTCTAGTACAAAAGTGAATGTCAGATTACTGGTGTCAGCTGAGTAACTGAAATGTTGGTCTTTAAGAAAATCAGCACATTTGCAAAGAAGTTTTTGGGATAAAAATCTAAAATGTAATAGTATCTTTCAATAGCCTCCAACAAAAAAAAAAATTATTGCTCTCAAAATCAAACTTAGGGTCAGAGGCAACTTCAGTTTGAAATTTTGGAAGGTGCTGCAGACCTCTTAAGCTTAACAGCAGCTTATAAATGGAAATCTCTTCTCCAAGATGCCTCCCAAACCTCCCTGGTCGTGTTTGGGAAGTTCTGCTCACTACAAATACTCCTGCCCATGTCTCTGGAGTC